TACCTTTCCCAATGATATTTGTGCGTAAGTGAATATAAAAAACCCAAAAGGTATTGGAACTCGACTCTCCGATTCACAATTTTGAGCCATCATCCATTACACCAGTAGCACATTCAAGATTACAGCATGTGGTATTCCCAAGTGGTCACCCATCTAGCTACTTACCAGGCTTGATGTTGCTTAACTTTGGTGAATATATGGGAACTGGTGCTTCAGTGCTATATGGCTGTATGCCTTAATTGTTTTAATAGAAAGATTTTATAAATTTCATCTGATAGTAGGACTGACTTCTTTATCAATGAATGATGAATGTTTCCTTATAAGGAAGTGGTTAATATTACTATTACCATCTGCTTGATATTTTCTACAAGATGGTGGATGAATGTATATCATGACAATTTTCAGTTCAAAATATAGCTTTTTATTTCCCTTTGTACTATGAAAGGCATATTGAGTGATTGTTTTTTTTACGGCTTATCAACCCTTTTCAGGTTATATAAAGCCAGAAAATACTTTTAGAGTGTAAGTTTTTTGGGTTTTTTTTGAGATAATAATGGTTTAGTCTTTCTAATTTACCTCTAGCTGGGGGAGAAAAGAAATAGAGTAATATATTTAACATCATTGCTTGACTACATAGGTCAGTTATATTGTATTCAAAGGAATATGTAAATTTCAATTTGCCTACCCATTGCTATAACATTTAAGAATTATTTCTGCAAAAGTTTAAAAGCACTTCTTAGATAGAGTGTTTTAATAATCTTTTGTTAGATGAGTTGCCATTTATATTTCTTGAAGTAAAATTGTTTTAGGACAATCTTTTATTGACATTGTATTTTCTTTTATTCTTAAATGCAGTTTGATTAAAAAAAAGTTAACAACAAACTGAAAAGGTCTTATGTCAGTTATCTCTTGTTAATTGAAAATGTTCTTTTCAGCACCTCCTAGTATAAATGAATTGCTGTTAAGCTAAGCCACTATTTTTTTTCCAGTGGAATTGTGACTAGAAATAATAATTTTTGTCATCCATTTTTTTCTATAAGTATTATACATTAAGCACACTAGGCCCCAAATATACAAAAATAAATTTTATGATAAAAGTTGACAGGGAAACCAGTTTGCTATTTAAATTTATCCCCTTTACATAAACCAAAACAAAAGATATTCATACCATTCTTAAAATTTTAAAAATGGAAAAAAAATTTTAAATTTATAATCTGTAGTTCTTTTTTATGCCTTACTTAATTAAGCACTTCAGATTATATTTAAAAATAAATTTATTTTAAAATTCTTTTTTTGTTTTTTTGGGTTTTTTTTATATTTGTGATCTGGAGTACAAGTGCTTAATCTTTCATCTTTTTAATATGTAGTAATATGAGAAAAAATGTCTAAAAAAAATTTTTTCAGGTTGTCTTTTGTACAACCCTACCTTTTTTTTCTTATCAATAGCTCTTAATAATGACTATGAAAAATACTGGTACATAATTCTGCTGAATTTGATGCTTTTAGTCACTTTTACCTGTTAATGAGGTCACTTTAGTCATTTCTCATTGGCAAAAACCTGTAATTGTTACTATGTTAATTGCAAAGTCTGATTTTATGTGATTATTGCAACATGTTTTAGCCAATGAGAAGTGACTAAAATGATTTTGTAAATAGGCTTTAGTCAATAAGAAGTAACTAAACACATTGAATTCAGCAGAATTATATTTTTTATATAACAAATTACATCTTTTTTTCTCATTAGCCAACTGACCTTTCATACTTTTCTAACTTTTCACCAGTTCTTGTGTATATGTATATATATATATATATATATATATATATATATATATATATATATATATACACACCATTTATCCCCTAATTAATATTTAGTGGTATTTAAATGTTGAATTTTGGTAAGAAAGATATGTGTGTGTCTGATAAAAATAATGTAATTTTCAACAATTTGCAAAGAAATATATTGACTTGCATACTCATTATTTTTAGATATTGATTGTCATAAATAACCATATTTAATCTGCAATTAATTAATTTAAAAATAAACAATCTCTAAGTTTGAATACTACAAAAATAAATGATACTTGGAATTTTGCAATAATGGCAAAATGATATATAATAAAAAATAAAACAAAAATTTATATGTACACATATTCATGCATAGGTTAGTATGCATATGTTGTGATATTAACAAAAGAAAATATGATTATAGATTTAAATGTTGTAACATTTCTAACAAGACTCTAGCACAGTAAGAATTTCAAATCTGAAAGTTATGATTACTCTTCATTCTGAGGAATATAAATATTAGATCTGATAATATTTTCAATAAATTTATCAAACATCTGGACCTGAGGAGCATTTTCAAAGAAAACTCTTGTATTAGTCTATCGGATAAGTTGCTTGAACTCTTATTTTATTGAATATAAATAATCATATTCAATTTCTAACATTGTTATTTGAAAAATTTCTAAAGATTTATTGTTGAATTGTACCACCTTTTATTCATGTCAAAGTTCATGATTTATCCAATGAACTGTAAATATGTGTGATTCAGACAAACTATTTCTGTTGTAGAGACTGAAGAATATTGCCAAGAGTCCTACTTATGTATAACAGCTTTTCTTATCTAGATCAATCATGTCCGTGATAAGTGATTGTGAGTAGTTATGAGTGAAGTAGTTTAGTGCTTTTAACTGAAAACCTCATGGTCAAAGATTTAATCTTAGAAAACATGTATCCAGTTTGGTAGTATTTGGTTTCAGGTATCTAATGAGGGAGACATGGAATATATCCACCATGGATAAGTGCTGACTGCTGGATATATTTATTTCCATTACCACTGATCAGTGTATATTTATACGTTACAGAGACATTGGGAGTTAGTTAAAATAGTAATAGTTTCAGAAATTTAAAAGAAGCTGTATATTTGCATCTTTTTATTTGAAGAGATTTACAGGAATTAGTTACTATTACCATTTATGCATTTTGAAATCTTTATCTTACCTGAATTTGGATTAATTAACATTATTTATCCAACATTTAGAGATTTCAGAAACTGTTCTCTTTCATTCCAGCACCTGAAAATGTTTCTTGTTTATCTTTTCTCCTTTGGTAGAAAATCCTTCGATTCTTAAAGAGATTTTTTTTATTGAAAATAATGCGACTTTTAAACAGGATCTCTTCTATATTTTTTATAGATCGCCCTATTAAACTATTCTGTATATTCTAAACTTTGATTTTCTTGAAATGTCTCAGTAGAAAAATAAACAAAAAAAACTGTACATTCTTGTGTGTATTAATTAATCTCAATAGGTATCGATAAAATGTGAGCTTCTAGTTGAAATGCAATTTGTTGAAAAAGGCATTCTTCTATTTAGAAGATCAAGGATGGAAATGGAATTCATTTTCCCTCAGTAGGAGTAGATATGTTCACCTTTTTCCCCAGTTTTTGAGTAGGAGTAGATGTTTATCCCATGTTTCCTGTTTAGGATTGGGTTTCCAGTTCCTTCTAAAATATTTTTTTCATTCTCTTTCACTATCAGTAGCCCCTTATGTCTTAGCAGTATTTGTCAAGCCTGGTCAATACCTAGATGGATGACCGCTTGGAAATACCAAGTGCTGTAAGCTTGATTGTGTGATTTGTGTAATGGATAATTGTTTGGAATTGTTAATCGAAGAGTCAAGTTTCATTTGGGTCAGTTATATTCATTTATGTGCAAATACCCTTGAGAAACATATGAATCCATCTCTAATGAGTTAATTATTGAGATTTGTATGACTAAAAACATTATTTCCCCCACCCCAAATAAAATTACATACAAAACATTTAGATTTCAGCATTAAATAACCAATAGAGGTTGATATGCTGCTAAACAAAACCAACCAGCCAGCCAACTTAGTGGTATTATCACCTTGCTTGGGGTGAATTGATTAAAAAAAATTGTTAAAAAAAAAAAAGCTTTCTAATGAGCAAAGAAACTTGTAAAATCTGTAATGCCCATACAAACAAAAGTCATGAATCAAATGAAATATTCTCACTAATATTTTGGGTCATTCTTCAATTATTTGTTTTTTGACAAAGTCTAAAATTTAGACCACTTTTGGTAATGCTGGTCTTGAAAATAAAAATGGTAAAGAATGAGTATTTTTGGAGAAGAGGAGATTTCTTCTTTTTTTTCTTTTTTTATGATGTTGGCAAGCTGATTAAATAATTGACTACAGATTTTGAAGTATGAAGGTAGAAACAACAATAATTGTTGAAATAGTCCATCTACACGACTCCAGCCTCTTTTTCACCTCAGCACATAAACAGATGACCTATATCTCCTTACCTTCTCTTCCATCTCCTCCCTCTTCTCATCAGCATCATGTCGAAATCTGTTGTGTGCCATGTGACAGGACTTTGCAAATTTATAAAGCAGCATGTGGCTTGTTAGAACAGTTTGTTTCAAACAACATTTATCACTTGTGACAGTCATTCATACAAAGCCCAGACTGTGTTTGGTAACAGTTGGTGTACAAGGAGTGATTTTTGCAAATAAATTGAAATTGGGATCACTGTTTAGATGATATTAGAGACCACATTTGCAGCACAACAAAAGCAACATGCACCAATTACCCATTCTTTGCTCCACACACAAATCTTAATCTTGCATCTTTCACCATTCTTTTCTTTTATTTCCCTCTCACCCTTGTTTCATTTTCCATACACACTTGGCTTCCAGTAAATTTATTCAACTGTCCAATGCAACCAGCAATCATCACTTCAGCCAATCAAACCATTTTTTCTTCTCTCCTTTACCACACACACTGAAACTAACTCCAGCTCTACTTCTCTATATCTTACTCCATTTGTTGCCAGTTACTATATCCATTTTGATATTCAGCCAGTTCCTTTCTCCTTTCTTATTTTTCCCTCTTTAATTTGAACATAGATTATTTTTTTATTATCTGTATTTTATGTTCACATGGCCCAGTGGATAGAAGCGTTGGTTGAAGTAATCCAGTGACTTGACACAAAGAGTTGTGAGTTCAGTACCTGGTCACAGCAGAGGTGAACAAAAATCTTGGAGAAATAACTGAATCTGAGATATCTGAAAGAGGCATGGCACATGGAACTAGAACAATCTATCCCAGTGGATGAAATCAAGGGTTCGGTTCAAAATTCCAATCACCTGAAGAAATGTCATGGATATGACAACAAAGATGAGGACAAGAGTCTGAA